TTCTCTCTCTCTCTCTCTCTCTCTCTTTTTTTTCTTTTTTCTTTTTTCCCTCCCCTTCACTTTCCCGTTCCCTCGCCTTTAGACAATGCTATTAATCGAAAGTTAAGCCTAAAAAGTGGACGCCTGAAGTAAAGTCGGATGAGGAGATGACAGGGGCCTATGGTATCTGTTGCCTGTTGGAATCGAAAAACCAAGTGGCGGAGTTCCCGTAAACGAGACGAGTGTATGCAGAACGGATACGTCGATGGTAACGAAACATAACCGGACACACTTGGAAAAGTATTCATTTTTATTATTATTATTATTATTATTATTATTATTATTATTATTATTATTGTTATTGTTATCGTTATTATTTTCCCTCCCCCCTTTTTTAATCATTTCTTTTTTTTTTTTTTTTAACCTGAGAGAATTTTCCCTAACCAACTATGTTGTAATAATGCTGAATAATACCTCGAATACATAGAATCTACTATACGATTTATTTTTTTTTTTGTTTTTTACTCTTTTTTTTTTTTTAATATACATAAACGACCACGACTTTATCTTTTTTTTTTTTTTTTAAACCCCCGTTTAATTTTTGCTCACCCACCCCTTATCGAAAATACGTTAGTATTAATAATATTCGAAACCGATGTTTTAATTACGCGGTATTTAAGATTATTAATAATAATAATAATTAAGTATTGGGTATAATAGCGATTAGCGAGAATTTCTAGAAGGAGAATAAGTTCTCTTTTCGTTTTAATTAATTCAAGGATAAGAGAGAAATTAATCGAGAAACGAGTTGTTGTCAAATGAGATTTCAAAGAGTTATGTTTAGGTTTATACACATCGCCGTGGACCGTTAGCAAAATTTACATCGTTACACAGCGCCCGGTGTGGGACGCGAGCGTCGTTTAAATCAGCTTGACGATCTGCAAATATATCCTCGTCGTGCCTCGTTCAATCCATTCTCGATCCATTCCGATAATTCATTCCGAATCGACCCAAAAAAAAACTATCAATTTTATTTCCCCAAAAAAAGGAAGAAAAAAAAAATCCTCGTAATTACGAATACTATCCATATCTAATAATATAAAAGAACAAGAAAAGAAATATGATTCATCGAATATAGCACGTTTCTTAACTTCGTACCAATTTAAATTTCTAATAACGATTCTTCGCCTCCTTTGTTTCAGTGCACAAAAATTCGTCCCAAAAATTTACATGTCCCCAAAGATTCCTGCGAACGTTTTCCGAAGATTCTTCATGGTATCCTCGGTGTCCTCGCTCTGTGATTGGCTACCTTGTCTGTGGAAAGGTACTCTCGATGTTGGAGCTTCGTCTTGGCGTCGACCGACCGACGGCGCGCTGCTCACTGTACTCGATTGCGATGCTAGGAAACGAACGAGCGAACCCGTTATCAATTGGTACATCAGATTTAAAACACGACGAAGTAAATAATAATAATAATAATAATAATAATAATAATAATAATAATAATAATTCGAAACCTTGGGAGTCGCGTCGTTGCAGCTGATGGTGGCTGTCAGAGGTGGTTACGTCGCCGGCCACTGCCGTCATCGAGCCTACCGAACCCAAGCTTCCTATGCTAGCCATCGATCCCATGCTCCCGTGCGATCCCAAGGGAGCTGTTGGCGGTACGGCGCGATCCTCGACGGGACTCGTCGCTTGGCTCGAGCCGGACATCGATCCTCTCGATGTTGTTTTCGTCAAAACGCTCGGCGGCCGGCAAAATGCCTGAATACATTTCAGAGTGAAAAATAACGGAAAATTGAGCGAGAAGGAATGGATTTAAAGAAATCCATGGATGGATGGAAAAAAGAAAAGAAAAGAAAAGAGGAGATGATAGACAATAGATAATTTAAAGATAGGTATATCCAAGCTGATTCTGGATTTATTCTGAGAGAGAGAATGAGACGGCATGTTTGTTTGTTTCTTTTTCATTCTCTACCTGCATTTTGGCGGTGACGAGATCGGCGATGTGACGACGATCTTCCTCCTGCGAGTCTCCCATTAACGATAACGCGCTATCGTTCACTTCGATTATGTATTCTCGGCCATCCTTGCCGACCAACAGCTCGATCGCGCAGATGTCCAACCCGCCGAACAATTGGGCCACCTGATCGACCCAGGCGCGATGTCTTTCACTCACGGCTAATTGCTCCAACATCGCCGAACCGGTGTTAGATTTCCAGTTTCCGCTTATGCTCTTCCGCCTGGAGAGGAACGATCACGCGCTCGTTAATCAAGTATCTTGCTACTATTGGATCCTCTCCACCCATTAACTCGAAGGGTTTAACCGATAGCCTCGATCAACGAGCTCGTGGTAACGGAGAGTGGTAATTTTTTTCATTCGAGATTCTAATTTAAAAAATGACGATGGAAAGAATTATTTCTCTAAGGAACGAGAAAAAGGAGAAAGAAAAAATTTATTTTCTATTACTACTAGTATCGAATTACACGGTGAAAAAAATAGACGGAATCGAAATTGTTCCGGTATTATTACGTAATCCACGTTTCGCCATCCAGTCGAGGGTTAAGCCACACGTTTTCTAATTTCCATGCTGACCTGAGGTACATATACCGGTGGACAAGCGACTCGGTAACATTTACGACGACAGATCGGCGGGATCGATCTGGCGATACTCATATCGCGATACTCACATGAACGCCTTGTAGTTATTGCCTATTTTCTGCACGTGGACGTCGTATTTGGTATCGACATACGGTTCCGACGTGCAGTAAGCGTTGGCCAAAGCAGCCAAAGAGGCGAGATCTAGAAACTCTTGATTCGTCTCGGCACGGGCTTTTCCCACTCCTCCGTGGGCGTGTCCAAGTTTCACCACGACTGGATAACGAGATGCACTCACCTGTAAAAAGAAAGAAAAAAAAAAGAAAAAAAAAGATGATCCGTTCTTATAGAGG